CATATAGTTTCCAGTCAAATATGCAACTTAATAGTTTCTACGGGGCGGACCAAGTCATAATCCCCAACGGTGTACGCCCACACACTTGTCATCTAGTATGTGCGCCACCTCAGGACAAAATTTACAATCATTACTTACCTCGAACCGGTCAAATCCCTACTCCGCGATGCCCTTGCCTCTGGAATCGGCCTCCAAACATCCCGAATCTAACAAAAAGCAATACAATATGATCTATATAGGCCAAGGGATCAATTCCAAATGAAAAACTATCAATTTATACCAAAATCTCGAAGTTCACCCAAACCCGGCCCCTAGGCCCACATCTTAGAATCCGATAAAAATCACAAAACTAGAAACTCCTTTCACTTACGAGTCTATACAAACCAAAACTATCAAAATCCGATCTCAAATGGTCCCTCAAGTCCTCAAATTAAACTCTCCAATTTTCAAGCCCTAACCCCTCAATTTCATCCCTAATTTCTTTCAATCTCAGGCTTAATCAACTGAAAATTATCACAATCATAAGTATTAAGCTCAATAACTTACCTCAATGAATGGCCTTGGCCGCTTTTGCGACTGCTCTCCTGCTTCTGCGAACCTCACACCTGCAGTCCCCACTCCGCAGGTGCGGTTATGATAGCTGAAGGAAATCTTTAGCACTTCCTCAAATCCCATCCTTGATCCGTCAACCTCCCGAAATCAACCCGAGGCCCTCGGGGACCTCAACTAAACATGCCAACAAGTCACATATCACCATTAAAACTTATCTAAACCTTCGGAACACTCAAAATAACATCAAAACACCATATCACACTTGCATTCAAGTCTAAGAACTTACAAACCTCCGAATTCCGCAAACGATGTTGAAACGTATTAAACCTTGTTCGAATGACATGAAATTTTGTACACACGTCACAAATGACACTACGAACCTACTCCAATTTCATGAATTCTATTCTGACCCCGATATCAAAATTTTCACTACCGACCGAAAAATGCCTAATTTTCAATTTCGCCAATTCAAGCTTAATTCTACCACGGACCTCCAATTTACATTCCAAACACGCTTCTTAATCCAAAATTACCTAATGGAGCTACCCGAACTGTCAGAATTTACATCCGAGATCTTTCACACATATGTCAGCATCCGGTTGACTTTTCCAACTTAAGCTTCTAATTAAATAAGAGACTAAGTATCTCATTCCACTCCAAGACCACTCCAAACCCGAACTAACCAATAAGATATGATGAAATACAGCTGAACAACACATAAAGAAGCAGAACTGGGGGGGGGGGG